TTTTGTTTTTTTTTCAACACAACTTCTGATACTGTTGTTTGGCGCTGGAGATTATACATGTAGGTGGCGAGGTGTTTATTCAAGGTAAAAAATGCAGACCTGTCATCCAAATAAGTCACAGGTCAAAGAAATACGCCCAACTAAAGATGATTTGGTTTGCGTGCGAAAAAATTGGAATATCAAGAGTGTTGAGAAATCAAATGATGCTATTTCTTTTATGGCTGGCTTGGTGTGCTGGTATATCCATTGCCCCTAATTGGTTAACTTAAAATAGATATTGGTTCCAAGCTTCAGCTGATGCTGCGTGGCGGCGAGGTGGTTGCTGTTTTTATGCGTATTTTGTTTTTCCAGACCTGAACAGAGAATAAAGAGAGGAGCTTTTGAGTAGTTTGTAAGATGCTCCCCGCCAAGAAAAAACAAAATTGCTTATCACAGTCACCTCAATTTTCTACACACGCACTTGGTTTTTGGGCTCAGGTGTCTTCGAGACTGGGTCTCAAAGATGTGCGCCCCCCCCTCCCTCCCCTCAGGCATCGACCGGGAAGATCTAAATTATTAAAAAAACTGCCACACCTCGCTTTGTCCCCTGACACACAGACACAGACACACACACACACACACAAACACACACACACACACACAGACAGACACACACACAGACACACACACACAGACACACACACCCCGCACAAATGCGCTTGCGGCATGTTTGCTCCTACGGCGTGAAAGCCCTCTCTCATTAACCCAGAGGGCACCCCCAGCCTCCCATTGTGTCCCTATCTCCCGCAGCATTCTGGGTAAAGTAGTTTAACAATGTCAGCCAGATAAGCCCAATGCAAACCTGCTGATAAGCAGTCAAAGGCTGCACTTAATGTCTGTGTGTTTTGAAGGCGTTGGGTGATTGAGGGACCGATGTAAAAGACCAACAGTGTGCAGAAAGTGTTTGTGTGTGTGTGTGTGTGTGTGTGTGTGTGTGTGTGCGCGCGTGTGTGTTTGTGTTGTCACACTGAAAAGCTGTACTGTTTCATATCTTTGTAATAACAGGTTAAACCGCCGAAACAGCTAAATGCAGAACACAAAAGAAAAGCAAACACACACGCGGGACAAAGAGTCTGGATGTGTGTGTGTGTGTGTGTGTGTGTGTGTGTGTGTGTGATTTCTAACTTTGGCTAAGGACCATTAGCAAAGTTATTTGAGAAAAAGAATTGTGAGTCGTATTGACAAGCAGCACAGAGATCCGCCGGCTGACAAGAAGGCGAGCTCGCTGTAGCCGGGGGTCAAAGGTCAAAGAAATTTCTGCATCCAGACTTTAATGTGTCTGTGAGCCGCGTCACAAAGGCTCCGCTCACGGCGCGGTGACACGGTGTGGATATCTCACAGAAAGTCACAAATAAAACGTTTGCGTTTCCACACCCTGCAGCGCACGACTCTCACGTGACACACACACGCACACACGCACACGCACACACACGCACACGCACACGCACACACGCACTTTAAAGCGAGCAGAGAACCCGTGCAGGTACAGGAGTGCGTGGCGACTGCGTGGATTCATCTTGGTGTTTACACAAGACTTCTACTGTTTGATGAGCACGAGTGTGAGCGGCGCACACACACACACACACACACACAC